CGCCCGCGAGGGGCCGCGCGGCGGTGGGCGTGGCGTCCCGCCCACACCTCGCGCCCACTGGCTGCGGCGCAGTAGGGCGGGACCTGCCCGGCGGGCCATTGGCTGCGAGACCCTCATATTTGCATACGGGCCGGCGCGGGGCGCGGGCCGGGCGCCCCGCGCGGGGCGGGAGGGGGAGTCGGGGCCCAGCGGCGGCCGCCGAATTCGGGCAGAGAGCTGGCGACGGTCCTGCGTCGGGGTTGCAGGTGACGCGCGAGGGGTCCCAGACTGGCGGGCGGCGGGTTCGGGCCGGGCTGGTGCGGTGGGACGAGGACGCACAAGTTGGAGGAGAAGGGGGGTCGGGGGTGGGGGACGGCCCCCTCCGTCCACCCGGCGGTCCCTCCAGGCGCAGGGCAGCCACTGCCCACCGCACACTGCGCTGCTCCGGACCCACTGTGCGTGTGACAGCGGCTGATCTGTCCCTGGGCAGCGCGACCGCCCCGGCCCCTCTGTGACCCTGCTCTGTCGGGCAGGGGACAGCCACACCAGGTGGGAGGGTGAGCGGGTGAGCACCAAGGCGAGCAGAGGCCAGGGCGCCCCTGTGGACCATGTCTGCGTATCTGCGCTCAGCAGGGGGGTGGGGGGAAAGGGGAAACATCTTGGGACTTCCCTGCCCTCCGTATGAGGGGGCTCAGGTGGGCCAGATGCGCCCTAGGAGGGAACTTTCTTTTCCTTGTGTGTTTCAGGTGCCAGGATGTGCAGAGTTACCGGGACGGTCTTCTGAACGTTGCCAAGCTGAGGGCAGCCTTGGGCAGGCAACGGGTGTTGTGGTCAGACCTTTGGCACTCAGGACTGGAGCCCCTACTACTGGCCTCTTGAGGGCCACCTCTGGGAACTTTCTTAAGGAAGATGGTGCCAGATTTGGCTCTTCTGTGCATTTCTGCCTCTTAAACAAGGCCGCTAAAAGAGTTGGGATGCGGAGGACCTGCTCGTGGTGACCAGCAACATGCCCCTCCCAGAGGTTGGGGTACCTGGCAGAGCCCCCAGGCCTGCTTTCTCTGCCGTGGGTTCTCAGTCCACTGTGAAAACCTGCTGGTTGTGGGGCATGCCCAGAGCAGTCTGCTGGCGTGCAGGTGCCAGGACACTTCCCGCAGGCCTGGTGTCCTCTCCCAGACAGTGGGGGTTGACAGCTGGAACTGGCTCTGTGATTGCCAGAACAGCCCGAGGGAGAGGCAGGATTAGTTGAGGACTGGCATGGAATTGGGCTCACTTTTGGAGGGACCCTGTCCTAAAGGTCACTGTGGCGTACCAAGTGTCACACCCAGCAGGTCTAGTAGGGCCACGTTCTGCAGGTGACAGGGAGGCGTGCATAGCCTTGGGGTTGAGAACCAGTGGAGCTCATTGGCTGCCACAGGGCAATGACTTGCTGTGGGTGACCCTTCAGTGAGCCCTGGTGTTCTCAGCCAACCCAAAAGGCCACTTTTGCGCTGGGGGGGGGGGGGGGAGCAAAAACCCTGAGGTCAGGAGGGGCTCCAGTGCCAGCCCCCAACACAGCCTGGCCCTCCAGAGACTCGTGATGACGGCTGCCTGTGTACTCACACCAGGCTTGCCTGGGGAGCTGGCCTGGCCTGGACCTGCCCTGCCATGGACTGATGTGTGTGTTTGTGTGTGTGGGAGCTGGGCCTCTTCTTACCTCAACAGAACTCACATCATTGTTTTCAAAGTACAGTTTAAAGCTCAAAAGTAAACTTCAGCAACTCCGAGGTTTGCTTAGTGATTTGAAGCACTTCTGGCAACTTCTTGGGGACGTGGGATTTTGTCCTCCTGGAACACCTAGAGGAAGAAGGTTCTGTCCCTTTCCCCACCCTAGAGCACAGGTGCTACCTGAGGACCCCTCCAAGGTTCAAAAGAGGGCTCATCAGCTTCCTCAACCAGCAGCAGACCAGGGACAGGTCCCTGGAAACGGCTTCTGAACAGGTGTTCCCTGAAAACAGACGCAGGAGCCTGGCGGAGGGGTGGGGTGGGGTGAGCTCTGTGAGCACCAGGCCTACGTCCTTTGGTTGGTGGGAGAGCAGATAACCCTGGGAGGGCGTGGCCTCGTCTCCAGATGGCACCTGGCTTTGCCCTCTGCTGGCCAGTGCACTCAGCTTGGGAGATGACCCTGTGTTGGGGCTCAGGACAGGCCCCCCGGGGCACACCTAGCCCTTCTGCACACAGGTAGGGCTGCGGGCGGGGAGAGCAGACCCCTGGAGCCTGGTGCTGATTGCCCGTGGCCCCAGCCCTCTCACCCAGGACACAGCACAGTCAGCATTTGCATTCCAGACTATATCCCACGTGCCTGTTCGCTTAGCCCTGTCTGGAATGGGCTGCTGTGAGGTGGGCAGTGAGCTCAGGTGGGAGCTGGGTTAGGGCTGGGGGCTTTAGAGTGAGGAGCCCCCTGCTGCTGCCTGGCCTGGCCATTCACTCCCTATCCTGTTCCACCTTGGGCAGGAAGTGCCCAGTCCTAGTTGCCCCCCCCACCCCCTACCCCAAGCTGTGCTCTCAAGGTGGCATTGCCTCTTGGTGGCTTCCTTGCTCCTGGTACTCAGGACTTCATGTCCCCCGTGGTCGGCCCCAAAGGAAGTGGGGAACACCAGGCCCAGCTCAGGGGCCACTCCAGAAGGCTGAGTCTGTCCCACACTTGCCAACCCCCAAACTCAGCACAAAGACCCCCATCATCTAGGATGCCCCCCTCTCCTGTTCCCCATGCCTGTGGCTGCACTGAGCACCTGGGTTCTGACCACCACAAAGAGCTCCAGTCTCAGCCACTGTGCTCAGAGGTGTGACTGCAGGACCAGGACTGTGGCCTGGACGTCACTCTGCCCTAATTTGGAGGCCGCAGGCACACAGCTGAGGCTTCACATCCAGCTGGGAAGCAGGGGGGCCCTCGGGAAGGCTGGGCAGCCACACCCTCACGGGGCCTACAAAGCTCCTCTGGGCAGGGCTGCTGCTTCCTTGGTCCTGGCCGACCAGGAGTCTGGGGAGCTGCCCCCACAAGCTCTCAGTAAACCTGACAGGCAGGTCTGGCATGTCCTTAAGTCCCCATGTCCAGGAGCCACCCCAGATGGGGTGGCAGTTCCTGCTCCTGCTGAGGGTTAGGCCAGAGGAGGGGACCCAGGCAGACAAGAGGCCCACACAGGAACCCGGGCCGGGGCTGAGGCTGCTGCAAGCAGTACAGTCGTACTGTCCGACTTTCAACCCCAGGCCTGCGCTGCCAAGGAGAGCCCCTGGGGGTGGGCGGGCAGAGCAGCCTGGAAGGTGAGGCCCCACAAATGCCCCCAGGCTTTAGGCCCAGCTGACCGCTGGCCCCTGGGAGACGCCCTGCTCAAGAGCCCCAGTTGCGGCCAGCCCCGGGTAGCTTGGGGATACTGCCCAGTGACCCCAGCCAGTCTCGGTTTCAGGCCCCACAGACGCTGTCCGGTGCAACCTTGGGACACACTCGAGCCATTTGGGGCAGTTTATTGAGACTTTAGGGTCAGGGTAGGGGAGGCAGCATACCTGTGTGTGTGTGCACACGTGTGATGAAGGACACTTCCCACATGCAAGCACACACCCAGAGTTGAGCAGTGTCCACATATGATCTCCCATCCCCTACAAGGAGCCATGGCCTTTGGGGCCTAGCGAATTCTGAGCCGGTCGTGCCCCCTGCTTCTCCAAGGGGCCGGCAGACTTGGCAAGGACTAGGGCAAGCACCCTCAGCCTCCCGCTGCCCCCCAGAGCAGAACCCCCCGGGCTCTGAGGCATTCTGTCTCAGGCCCAGGGCACCAGGCCTTCCCACTCCATGGGCAATAAACCCTCTGGGACCCCTGATGCTGCCGTTGTCCAAGTCGGGCCCCGCCTTGGCTGCCCACGCTCATGTCATGGGAGCCAGGCTGGGCTGGCAGTGGATGTCCATTCTGGGGCAAGAGCTGCTACCTCCAGGAGTTCTGCCTCATGGGGACAACTGTGGGGAGGACACAGGCTGAGGGACTGAGGAGGCCACAGGAGAACCCTGACCCACCCAGAATGGGGGGGACAGACATACTCTCTGGGCTCAGGCTGGACACTAGAGCAGGACCGTGGGAGGTTCTGGTGAAAGGCTCTTCTCTGGCCAGAGGCAGAAGATCCTATGGGGAGAGCAGATCAGCTTAGGACTGGGCCAGGCCTCCCCTGCCACCCAGCCTCCCTCCAGAACGGCGCTGACCTGTGTGCCAGGGGGGCCCCCATCTGGCTGCGGGGGTGGTGGCGGCGCAGCCCCCGTCTGCTGGATGAACTGCTGCAGGTTACACTGGCGGAGCTCCCGGTTCAGCTCCTCTAGTTCCTGGGCCTGGGCCTGGGGCACAGGGCACCCTCAGGAGACGGCCGCAGGGCTCCACGGCCTCGTGCTCCCCCTGGTCACACCCTGACACCCGCCCCCCAAGCTGCCCATGCTGGGGATGTCAGCAGGCGCTCGGGGCCCAGGGGGGCTTACCTGCAGAGCACGCTCGGCAGCCTCCAGAGCCCTGCTGACCAGGGCCAGGCTGCCCTGCACCTCCGCGCTCTGCCGCTCCTGGACGGCCAGATCCTGGCGCAGGCGTTCGGTGGCAGATGCCGTGGGTGAGGGGGGCCCGGGGGCCTCTGAGGCCAGATGGAGTTCAGCCTCCAGGGCACGGGCCTGGGCATCCAGGGCCTGCAGCCGGGCGGCGTGCTCGGCAGTGGCGGCGCTCAGGGCTTGCAGGCGTGCCTGCCCCTCACGCTCCCGCACCTGCTCCCGCCTGAGCTCCTGCTCCCAGAAGGCCTCCTGACCCAGCTCCAGTGCGTTCCTCCGCACCCTTCGCTCCAGGCCCTGCAGGTCTGCACAGGAGCCTGGCATTGGTGCTACGGGGGCCACAGGCTCGGGCAGCGCAGGGATGGGGGCCAGCCCAGGGCACCCAAGGCTGAAGGTCAGTGCTTTGCGGGGCTCGTGGCCCAGGGCTGGCCGTGGCTTCGGGGGGAGGCTGGCCCGGACTGGGCAGCGTTCAGGAGGTGGGCAGCTGTCTGAGGAGGGCCTTCCTGCGAGGCTGGGCCCTGTCCGCCTCAGGACAAACTGGACATCACTGGCAAACTGTCCACAGGTGGCCTGGGCACCCACTGGACACTCCTGGGGCAGCAGCTGCCGTTCCTTCTCCCTGAGACGCTGCACGAGCACAAAGCGGCCCGTCTGGCCTGGGGTAGGAGGAGAGGGGTCAGCCTAGATCCCCCCCACCCTCCATCCACCTGGCTTGAGAAGTTGAGGGAGAGCAACAGGGATCAGCAACCAGCCCCACCCTCCTTGGGGGAAAGGGGCCATAGGGGCGGGCCCAGTCTCGGGTGCACCTGCTGGGCCATCCGTGCCGGAAAGGACTCACCTATTGCTTGGGCTAGCGCGATGACCACTTCCTGACAGGTGGTCTGCTCTGAGACCCCACAGACCACGCGCTGTATGCCATCCACCCACACCTTCAGCTCCATGGCTGCTAGCCCTGAGAGCATCCCTGTCCTGCACGGAGGGTGAAGGCCAGAGTCAGGCCCAGCCTGGCTCTCCTCTCTTCCCCCAGAACTGGCTCAGGGTTACTGTCCCCCTGACGTCAGCCCCGCTCTCCTGTGCCCAGCCCCACCCGTAGGCCACACATTCTTGGGGTGGGAGTAGTGGAGACGCCCCCCCCACCCCCCGCAGGGGGAACCAGTCCGCCCTCAAGGGGCACTTTGAGGCTCCTCCACTGCCCAGCCTCCTCTCGCCTCACCCCAATCCCGGAACGAGGCGAATCATTAACCAGATCCAGGACTTCCTGCCTCCCCAGTCACCTGGCTCGAAGGGCACTGCCCCTCCCACGGGACGCCGTCCTCAGGCACCCAAGGGCGCCCTCACGAAAACACGGCTTCCCTCTGCCATGGGAACGCCCCCTCGCCCGAGACGCAGACCTCGGCCCTCCGGAGGCACGGAACCGCGCCTGGGCGGTCCCTGCCGGCGCGGGCAGCCCCCTTCCCGCTCCCCACAGCCGCCGCGCTTGCCGTCTCTGCGGCGGGGGCCGTTGCAGGTGCTGCGGGGCCCCCTACGGCCGCCCAGCCCGCGCCCCTCCGTCGGAGTTGCCGCCCGGAGCCGTGCCCCGCACTCGGGAGGATCTGGGGCCCTGCGCTTCTCACCTGGGCGCTCGCCGGCCTCCCGGACCTAGGCTCGAACTGGCTGCTTCCCGGCGGCCGGCGCCGTCGCCGCCGCAACCTGCCGCCTCCAGCGCGGCGGGCGAGCCCCGGCCCGCAGCTCCATTGGCCCGCAGCCCGAGCGCCCCGCCCCGAGCGCCCCCATTGGTTCCCACCATCGCCTCGTCCGCCCCGCGCCCACGCCCATTGGCTACCTCTCTGAGCCCCGCCCCTCCCATTGGCTCCCCGCCCGCCCCGCCCTCAGCGGCGCCCAGGTGTGGGCGGAGCTCGGCAGCGCGGAGGGGCGGGCCGAGCCTGGTCCACGCACGCCTGAGGACCGCGAACTACGCGGAAGCGCGTCCCTGGCCCCCGGGCGGCGCGTGGGACAGGTGTCTGGCTCCGCTCCCGGGCCGACCTCCTCAGAAACCTCCCAGTCTGATGAGTCTTTTGCCTAGAGAGGGAGCGCTGGCCTGGGACCCTGCAGCTTCTGCGCCGAGAGGGGCAGCGGGGTCCCCAAGGCCAGGGCCCCACCGACCTTGCTCCCTTAGGGCGCGTCGTCGGGACGCACAGGGGTCGGGGAACCGTGAGCCCCCGCGGGAGGGAGGTGGAGCTGGCGGGCCACTGCAGCCAGGTTGGCAATCCTGGTGAGGGGAGAAGGCCGCCTTCAGGTTGCTGGGGACAAAGCAAGACATAGACCCTGGGCTCTTTTCCCCCACCCCTGCCTGCCCCCAGTGGAGCTCGGTGCCCTCTCGAGTTGTGGACGCCCGCGGGCACACTCCAGCCTGGTAGGACCCAAGCCAGCTCGGCAGCCAGGGTGCCTCACAGCCTCAATGCTGTCTGTGGACCAGGCATTCAGAGCCCTGTTTCTGCCACGGGGGTCCACCTGCCAGCCTGTATGTTCCGCAGCACAGGAAGTCCTACAAAAACGCGAAGTTGAGAGTCTGAAAAGAAGAAAAGAAAGAAAGAAAGAAAGAAAGAAAGAAAGAAAGAAAGAAAGAAAGAAAGAAAGAAAGAAAGAAAGAAAAAAGGTTAGAAAGGGATCGGGGTGAAGGCTGAGAGCATCAGTTTGCGTGTCAGATCTGGTGCTTCATTTTTGGTGTGGGGCAGAGCGAACAGTTATCGTGGTTATGAGAGGTTCCCCGGGGCTCCCTGAGGTGACCCAGGGGGTAGAGATGGATGGGGGCAGGGGGGGCTTCTTGCTTGGGGGCCAGGTAGGTGGGCATCAGCCTCTGAGGACAAAGAAGCTGTGGGAAACACTCAGGAGGGCCTCACTGCCGGTTAGAGTTCAGTAAGCCCCCACATACAGGGCAGCAATGCCCCCGATACCCACCAAGTGCCACAGTCAGGCAGTCAGGCTGGGGGTGGTGGACTGTGTGGCCACGGCAGGCCTGGCTGGTCGCTCTGTGGTTCCCGGGGCCTCCTGAGGTTCACTGGCCGACAACCCAGCCTCTTACCACTTCTCCTTCAGGCAGGATCTGGAGGTGGGTCCAGGACTCACTCAGGGTCCTGGTCTGGGGTCTCCCTGGAAGCTGCTGGTAACAAACAGCCCCTCCCCTTTTGGTGCTGGTATCCATGGCAACACTGTAAAGCCTTTCTTTCCCTAGGCCTGCTTGGGTTTCAGGCCTCAGGTGAGTGTTGGGGGTAAGGCCCTGGGTCTGGGGGCATCACAGGCAAAGGATTAACACCTCTGGGGACCTTTGCCTTAGGCTGAGGGCAGGACCTCAGGTCGTAGAGGGCAAGGGTGACAGAGAGACAACAGGAAATGTGCAAACATCCTGGTGACATGTTGCTTGGGGAAGGGGCTGGGGGACAGTTATCTGCTGCCTTGTCCTGGTCAGAAACACACAGACATAGACACACATGTGGCTGACAATCTGGTGTCCTGGGGGCGTGCACGTGCGCATGCGCACGCACGCGCGCGCGCGCGCGCGCGCACACACACAAGGGCATTTTTGGAGTGATGCTGTCTAGGGCTGTCAGACACAGGCACACACTTGTGGCCATGAAAGAAGAGCCCCACGTGGTACCTACCCATGGGACACAAGGATGACAGCCACACTACCCATCTCAGCTCCCCCAGGAGCATCGAGAATGGCCCCTGAGCCTTGCCAAGAGGCTGAAACAGCTGAGAGACAGGCTGCCTCATCCCTGGCGGACCAAGAGCCGGTCAGTGACCACTTGGAGCCTCCAGCTGGCACACCTGGAGACCCAGTGGCTCCCGCATGCCTGAAGGACACCAAGCCCAGCTCCACGCCCGTGGTCTTCCCCGTCAACCTGCAGTAAGGAAGCGAGGGAGGGGTGGTCAGCTGGAGGGCAGGGCCCGATCAAGTGGCAAGGGTGCTGGCATTGCAGGTTGGCCCCTGAGTCCTTGGACCCCCGCACCCTGCGGCTGCTGTGGGGTCAGCGGGAACTGGAGATCCAGGCTCTGCGGTGGACCATCCGGAACCACCAGAATGCCCGGCACTGCCACATCCTGTACGAGGTGGCTGGACTGCCACCCGAGAGGTGAGCAGCAAAGTGCCAGTCCTTCGGCCCAACCCAGCCTCTGTCCTGGCCTGAGACGGCTTTTGTCTGCCCTCATCCCCAACCGCTGGGGCTGACCAACACTCCCACCTGATAATTACCCTGACTTTTGCCTCTAGCCCTTACCCTTACCTGGCTCTGACCCCCCAACCTAACCCTGAAAGAGTGAATATGCTGTAAACCTGCCCGGACCCTGACTCTAAACATGTCGATGGCCGCTGAACCTAGACTCGACCTATGACCCACACCTCTCAGAACCCGACCTGGCCTGGCCCGGTGGGACTCTGCGCCCTTAGGCCTCCACTGTCAGTGAAGAGGAGCCCCTCCTCCTCCCTTCCTTGGCTACTGACCTCGAGGTGGGGGCTGCTGAGATGGCCCCTCCCCCAGTTGCTCACACAGTCAGGAGAAGCTCCTGCAGAACCGGGTCCAGAAGCTGACTCTGGAGTTGAAAGGGCAGAAGGAACAGGCCCAACTGGTGAGGGGCAGGTGGGATCAGGAGTTGGTCAGGGGACCCAGGCTGGGGTGGGGATCAGGGGCCAGGCAGGGGTTGGCTCCGGGGGTGGGGAGAAGGCCCTGCCCCACCCGCGCACCCTCCCGGAGCAGGAGAAGTCCCAGCTGGAGACTGAGCTGCAGGCGGTCCAGAGGTCCTGCCTCCTGCAGCTGGCCCGCTCCTCCTGGGTGGGTCGCGTGCTGCGATCTTCCACCGGCAGTGTGGAGGTAAGCCCCATTCGGCCCACCCTCCTGCCTCCCACGTCCCCCTCCCCAGCCCTCCTTGGACTTCCCTTGGAGAGCCAGGGTGTCCCTTCCAGGCTGGTGCTTCCGCTGGGGGGCCCCGGCCTGCCTGGGAAGCCTGACCCCCAGGACCGTGGTCTAAGGCAGGGAGGAACCCCCTGGTTCCGCCCACCTGATGCACAGCAAATGTGTGCCTGGGGTGCTGGTGAGGCTCCAAGGGGAGAGGCTCGTTCCCCGGCTCCCCCCCACTGGCCTCCACTCCCCTTCTGCAGGTGGTAACTGCAGAAACTCTGATGGACTCCAGTGACCTCTCTGAGAATGATCAGGTCCCCTCTACTGGAGAGGTAAGCAAGGCCCCCGTGTGTTTTCATGGCTCGGTGGGCCCGTGGGAGGGGAGAGCCATGTTCCTGTTGCTTCCTGGCCAGGGTTTCCGGTTGGAGGACGTAGACTGGAACAACATTGCCCATCGGTATCCCAACCTCCTCGCCAACATCAAGTCCAACTCAGATCAAAAGTAACTGTGCTGGTCAGGGACTCCTGCGGGGGTGAAGGGAGGAGAGGGCGTGCCTTGGCATGTGTGCACCAGAGTCCAAGATCTCCCCTTAGTGTCCCTGGATGAGCCACTGACACCTCCCAAGGTCAATTCTCTGATCTGCAGGAGGAGGTGAAGGTTGAAGGGGAAAGGGCTCCTGAGCCATCACAGTCCATCTATGGCCTTTCTCCCAGGCTGGGTCCCAGGGACTGGAACCACAACTCGGGGTGCCCCGCCCACCTTGGGGAGGTTAGATGGGGGCAGGGCTGGAGTTCAGAAGCCAGAGCCAGCAGGCAGCAAGCAGGTCAGCAGACTGTGGCCCACAGGCACCCCCGGGCCTTGCCATCCCCACCGGCCCCAGTGCCTGGCCAGTGGGGCTCGGAGCTGCATAGAGAGTGTGTGGAACAGCATCTCAAGAGTGTCGAGTGGCGTTCCCTGCCCTCTGTGGGCACCAGCAGCTCAGGGGGCACAGACTCTGACCCCGGCAGTGGCTGGCTGGCTGAGCCTCATCGCGTGCAGAAGGTGACGGGACAGCCACCCTGCGCTGCAGGCCGCAGTTCTGAGTTGACAAAACCACACCGGAGGAGCTTCCGCAGGGAAATGCAGGCACTGCCTGAAGGTGGGGTCGGCGGGTCTCCCTGGTGGCTCCTCCCTCCCCCCACCGTGAGGCTGGGATCTCCACCCCAAATCCTAAACAGCCGTCTCCAGCAGCTTGGTCTCCCCAACAGCTCAGCGCAAGGCCGCTTGGGGGCCTCTCCTGCCTCATCCCCAGGGGTGTGGGTGGCCTTGGGTGAGACGCTACCTCCTCTGCACTCTGGCTCGCTCCCTCCCACCCCTCCCCAGCACTTTGAGCTGTCCCTCCTCTTCCCTCAGCCCCCAGGGCCATCCCTCCTGCTGTGGATCTGACCCCTGGAGCTGTTCCTCTCCCACGTGCGGCCTCAGGGTACTGCAGGTTAGTCTGGCCTCATGTTCGATGTCCCCAGAGGATGCTCCATATGGAGGTCCTCTTTCTGGCAGGTCTCTCCCTGGATCCCTGGAAACCCCCCCCCCCACCACCACCCACCTGGTAAGACGGTCCTGACAGGGGAGTCCTGTGCAGACTCAGAGCACCGGCATCCCAGGCGCCGCCTCCGTGGGAGGGGAGGGGGGTGACACGGGGTGGGGGTGGGGGATCCCAGCAGGGGTGGGTCTCCTAGCAGGACCGCGGTGGAGGGGTGCCCAAGCCTCTCTGCGGTGCCTCTATCCTCCCTGCTCACCCGCCCAGCCCCATTAACTCCAGCCTGAAGATCGTGGCCGTGAGCCGCAAGGAGAGGTTCGTGCGCGTCCTCAACCAGTCGCTGGAGGAGACCGCCGACCTGGGCGGCCTCACGCTGCGGCAGCTCCTGCACGGCTTCCCGGTGTGCATGTACCGCTTCCCGCCCGGCACGCTGCTGGCTCCAGGGCACCACGTTACGGTGCGCCCCGCTCCCCGCGAGCCCTCGTGGCCTCTGCTCCGGCCCCCACCGCCCCTCACCCGCCGCCCCGCGCTGTCCAGCAGGTTTGGGGCGAGGGCCCCAGCAGCACCAAGAAGCAGCCGCCGTCGTCCTTGGGCCAAGAGCCTGTCCACTTCCATTCCGGCCGGGGATGCGTGACTCTCCTCCTGAACCCCAAGGGCGAGGTCAGGGTGCGTCTCAGACCGGGATGGGGTGGGCGGAGAGCCCCGCGGGCTGGGGGTGACCGCTGCGCCCCTCCCGGCCGGCCCGCAGGTCCTGAGCGAGCACCGGGCCCCCCACTGCGTGACCCCGGTCTCGAGGATCTTCGCTGACAACACCGACCTCTCCGTAGACCGCTTCCCGCTCTCAGAGGACGGGCTTGGGGCCGACCCCGGGGAGCAGAGTCGCGGGCCTCAACACTCGCGCGCGGGCAGGGTGCGGCAGGCCGGAGCCAGACGCCGGAGGCCCGGGTGGGCACCGCGGATCCCTGGGTCTCCTCTGCCTCCCAGGACCCACCCCCGCAAAAACCGTCCCCCCAGACTCCCTGCTAAGGGACCATTCCCTTGCCTCAGGTCCAATCCCCTCTGAGGCCGCTCTCCAGACGGCTTTCCGTGCAGGACCACCACCCACCTCCCCGGGTCCCGGCCGCGCCGGGGGGGGGGCGGCGCGGCCCGGGAGACCTGGCGGGGGCGCACCCGCCGCAGCGGGCCCCGCCCCCCCCCCCCCCCCCCCCCCCCCCAGTAATTCAAGAGCGCTCCCACGCGGCGTGCCCTGCAGGACCAGCCCCTGGCTCCCGCCTCCCAGGCCCCTTCCCCTCCAGGACTGCCCTTCCCGCGGGCAGGCTCCGGACCTCACGACCCTCCTGCCCCACCAGGACGCGGGGCCTCTTGCCGCGGCTGAGCACCAGCAAGCTCTTCCGCCCGCGAGAGGTGCCGGCGCGGCCCGAGGCCGCCGAGACCCGCACGCCCGAGCTCCTGCCCGCCTTGCCCGGTGAGCGCACGGGGACGCGGAGGGCGGTCGGACCGCCGGGGAGTGGGAGTCCGGCCGACCCCATCCCGTCGCTGTCCCTCGCAGAGGCCGGGCTGTGCCTGGAGCACTGCGGGGCTAGCAAGGAGCACAGGGTCCGGGTGAGCGCGCGTGCGTGCGGGCTGTGGCGGGATACCCCAGCTCCCGCGGGGTCCCCCTCCCGGCCCCGCCCCCCCGCTCGGGCCCCGCCCCCGCGCCGCTCAGGCTCCGCCCCACCCAGGTGTGCCGGAGGAGCGTGGACCGGGGCTGCCCGATGGTAGCGCTGTCAGTGCAGAGCACGGCTGAGAGCAGATACGGCTTCCGCTTCCTCCCCTGCCCGCCGGTCACCGCGGACCCGGGCGCTCGGGTGTAGAAGGTGGAGGGCAGCGCGGGCGTGGGCGCCCAAGGCCGATGGGCCGCGCTGGGAGAAAGTCGTGGGAGACCAGCAGTGCCAGCTGCACAATTTATTGAACCAACGTCGCCTACGAAGTAAACCGCATTCATGTACACCTGAGAGTCCTTAAAGCGGATTCGCTTGGTTTTGGGGTGCCCTATCCCAAGGGAAGGGCACTGGCTGCCCTGTCCCTGCGTGGGCGAGGACCCGCACAAATCCCCCAGGGTTGGGGGGCGAGGGGGGGCCTGGCTGCACTCCGGCCACCTCAGCCTGGGCCCAGCCTGTGTCCTCCGGGTTCGTCGCTCTGACCACTCCTCCTGGGAAGGCCGGGCCCCATGGAAGGAGTGGGCAGCGGGGCCAGTGGTGGGGAACTGGGCTCTCCTATCCTGGGCTCTTCCTTGTGCCCACCCCTGGCAGTCCCAACCCCCCCACTCCCCTCCACCAAGAAGGGTCCCTCTTATGTCAAGCCTATTTCCCGCCCCCCAACACACTCTCCAAGATGCTCTGGGTTCCATGAGGCCAGAGTTCACATGGGGCTCCCACGACCACACTGGGGCATCTTGGCCCGCAGTCCAGGCCAGCTTGGCAGCGGGTGGGGGGTTACACTAGGGGTGGGATTGGGCTGGGGTGATAGGGTTCAGGTGCTGCACGCACCGGAGGCCGGGGAGGTCTGGCTGCTGGATCCGGGGCTGGCTTTGGGCTGGGACATCCTTGGGCTCGAGGGTTCGGCCCCGAGGCCACCTCCAGGCCTCTTAGAGCTGTCACCACAGCTAGCCCCTGACCCAGGCCAGGCCTCAAGCTGCCTAGGGCTCTGAGCCTACGCCCCCTGAACTGCAGGTCTGTGGACCCCCAGAAGGTGTTGCTGGAATCAGATGGCAAGGGGAACTTAGGGGGAGAGGGGATCAGGTTACAGCCTGAGGTCCTAGAAGACTCTGGAAAACAAGGAAAGAGAGCTTGTCAGACAAGGGTCCCCACAGGGATCAGTAGATGGGGCGAGGGCCACCACAGCAAGGTGGCAGTGTCCCCTGGGGCCCCTCCCCCAGCCCTTCACCCCCTCACAGCGGCACCCCTCTCCTCCACTTCCTGTGCTCCCCTGGGAGGCTGTGGCTCTGCGGCCTTGTGACTTTGCTGGGGCCACACCCACTTCTGGGCCTGCAGAGGCCACAAAGTCTGAGCTCTGGCTTTGGGTCACTGAGTCGCAGCACCAAGAGTGGCCCTGGGCCAGTTCCTAACACTCCGCTATAGAGTGAGGCCCTGGCACCCCCCTCAGGGCAGACTGGGAGGTGTGGCCGTGACCAGTGAGTGCTTCCCTGGACCTGGCCTGGAGTGGGAGGCCCTGGCACCCTTCTGTCCCTGGGTCCCCACTGTCTGTTACCACTCCCGCTGGCTGCTCTGCCTGTCCTCTGTCTCCCCCCCCCCCCCCCCCCCAACAGCCCAGGCACAAGCCCACACAGGGAAGGGCACAGGCTTTGTCTGTCCTGTCTCTCTTCCATCCTGGCCCTTTTGACTCCCCAACCCACAGGAGGGTCATTCAGCCAACCTTTAAGCCTATGGCCTATGAAGGGAAACAAAAATAATATAAAAACAGGGAGGGGGACCAAACAGAAGAGACTCTTAAATATGGAGAACAGAGGGTTACTGGAGGGGTTGTGGGAGGGGGGATGGGCTAAATGGGGGAGGGGCACTAACGAATCATTGTTGCACTATATGCTAACTAATTTGGATGTAAATTTTAAAAAATAAAAAATCAAATTAAAAAAAAAGCGCCTATGGCCTATGTACTTGCTGCCCCTGCTTACAATGCCCCCTTCCCAGGCTTGCCCCCTCAGTTCTACGCGTCAGCTCAGACCCTTCCTCCAGGAAGCCTCCCTGGGCCCTGCTGCGTGAGGGTCTCTACAGCCCCCCACGTTTGTTCCATGCAGGACACTCGCGTCCTGGGCCCAGCACACAGGCCCTGGGTAAGGGCAGCACCCTCCCCGCCTCAGTCCCCTGGCCCATTCGGCGGCCTCTCCCCTCCTTTGGCCTGTGCCCTGCTCCCTGCCCAGTGGGCCTGTCCTGGCCACTCATTGCCACCCTACCCTCTCTTTCAGTCCAGAGCCCCTGCTCATACCCCCTTTTGTCCAGCCCTTGGGGCATTATTATCCCGAGCGCTCAGGGGAGGAGGACTTGGGATTGGAACCCTTGACTGTAAGTCCTCACCATCAGGAGAGGCCCTCCCCGTTACAGCCCCTCTCAGAGTCCAGCTGAGGAAGGGGACCCAAGCCGATGAATGCTGGTCTGGGGCAGTGAGTGGGGTCGCTCTTAGTACCTGGGACCAGACATTGGGGGCCAGAGGGAGTCCTGGGCTTAGATTCGTCCTCTTGTTCTTCGGGCGCCCCCCGTGGGCCCCAGGGGGCTGTGGCACCTTCCTGCTGGGACTCCAGGTACCTACTGGGGAGGGGACCAGAGGGGGGAGGGGGTGCAGCCCTGCCCTTAGGGCCATTCCCAAACGAATGTGCTCTGGGGTGGTCCCCCAGCCTCAGGCTCCCACGGCCAGCTGCCCCAGCCACCCGGGGTACCTAGGCAGCCCCCCCTCCCCTGCCATGACCTCCCAGCAAACCAGGACATGCAGTGGTAGGGCTGGGGGCCGGGAGGGGGAGGGGCACCCACCGAAGGCGCAGCTCCCTCCGGGCCTGGAGCCTAGCCAAGGCCAGGAGTTCACTGCTGTCTGCAGGGTCAGGCCCTGGGGTGGAGGCACTGGCAGCCAGGTCCTCCTGTGGGGCCAGCTGCTCCGAAGGTGTCCAGGCCTGAGGAGAGAAGGGGCTGGTTTGGGGGCACAGCCTTCGAGGGGGCTAGGTGGGGGGCACCCTGAAGGCAGGACTCATCTGGCTGTGCAGGGTGTTGGGGAGGCTGGGACTTCTGGCCGGCAGTGACTGTAGGCCAGGGCATTGCCAGGCCAGCACACGGGTCCCCTGTGGTAGCACTGCAGTTGTGACCCACTTGGGGGTGACAAGCCACACCTGGCACTGGCGTCGACGCTCCCTCAGGCCTTTGGTGGGGTTTCCGCAGAGGACTCGGCTAGCACCTGAAGAAGAGGGGTGGCTGGGTCTGTTCTGGGGCCGAGGGGCTGCGGGGTCAGCTTTGTGCAGAGGTGGGTAGTTACCGTGGGTGAGGTTACTGGTGTCGTCCTGTGGAGCTGGGTCCTTGGGAAGCAGGCCTCCCGGCAGGGGACCCCCAGTGACCAGTAGGGAGAGGGGCCGTGGCCTGGGGGCCCGTGGCTGGGTCTCAGGCAAGGAGAGCTGGGAGCCGAGTGTCCGGATGGGGGCTCCGTGGGGATGATCTACCCGAGGGTCAGAATCAGAGGTCACGGAAGCACACGCCGGCCGGCCAGCCCGTGACACTGTCCACAGCCCAGGGACCCCCGCCCCCTAACACGTGTCTGTGTGTCTGCAGGCCCACACCCCACCGGGCGCTGCTCTGCTCACAGGGAGGTTATCCTGGCCTGGGGGCAGGTATGCGGGGCTCTGGGGACAGAAGGTCCAGGCTGAGAAGGGATGTGAAATATGGCTGCTCATCTCTGGAAGGCCTAGGGGGGTGCTGGGGGGTGCAGAGCTCTCTTCCCGGGGGGGGGGGGGGGGGGGGCGTCTTCTGGGGCTCCAGCCGGTAAGGTCTCCAGGCGGGGTAGGGCAGCCCTTGCCAGAGGGCAGGGGAGTGGCCGCCATACCCAGCCCGGGGAACATTCCTTCGGAGACACTACCCTCCTTGATGGCCTCCTTCACCATGAGCCAGTCCTGGCGCAGCTCCCGGGGGGCCGGCACGGCCGTGTGTGTGGCTGGCACCTCATCCAGGACCCGCAGCTGTGGGATGAGCTTCCTCACCTCTGCCCGATAGTTGTAGCCGGGGGGCACCTGCAGGGTGGAGGGCGTGGCGGGCCTGGGTCTAGCGGGGGCCCCTCCCGTGGCTGATTCCTCCAGACCTTCCTGTGGGTGCCGGCCTGGGGCACTCTTGGCCACCAGGGACTGCGGGGACCCTGAGCTCCCCCCCGCACGTGAACTCACCCTCTAGGCTCACAGCCAAGGTCCAGTGGTGTCCTCTGGCCTGTGGAGCTCCCCTGAGCCCAGAGCTGTGGCCTAGCTGGGCGCCACCACCCCGTGGAGGCTAGCAGGGCGGGAAGAGTGCGCTCTGGGCACGGGCAGTGCGGGGGTGTGGGCAGCTGTGTGGGGTGTGCACAGGCCTGCGGGAGATGAGGGGGGCTCTGGACTGGGCGTGCACGGGGCTGTGTGTGAGTGTGCGTGTGTGATGCCATGTGCAGACCGAACCGGACACGCGTGGTTCCATGTGGTGTGTGCATGGGCCTCACGGGGGTCTGTGCGTGGGCTGGGGGCCTGTGTGCACGTGGCCCCGTGGGGTCTGGTCCCGGCCTAGAAGGTCTCCAGCGATAGCAGAGAATGAGTTCCCGGTGAACAAGTCACAGGGTGCAGGTGGACTGTGCCTGGGGGACGCGCCTGGGGACGATCCCGCCGCCCTGCCTGGACATGACCAGCGTCCGGGTGGGCGGAGAGGCCCCTGGGGCCGTGGGAGGGCCAAGAGCGTCTCCCCATCCCGTGCACGTGCTTTCCCGGGCGCCCACCAGACGCACCTCGTTGGAGGGGCTGGGCCCTGGCCGCAGGCACACCAGGTTGCCCTCCAGGGTGAGCGTGGCCAGCCTCGGGCACAGCTGCAGGTAACGCACCTGCTCCAGGACCTCCACACTGTTACCCTCCAGGTCCAGGACCTCCAGCTGCTCCAGCAGGCACAGCGGGCTCAGGTCTGAGATGTTGTTGTAGGAGACGTAGAGCTCCTGGGACAGCAGGGGGCCTCAGCCAGGGCTTGGTCGGCACCCTCTCCCCAGCCCGGGGCACCACAGACCCACCTTCAGGGCCGGGAAGCAGCCAATGCCATCCAGGTCGGTCAGGCCGCAGCGGGCCAGCCACAGCACCCGCAAGCGGCCCAGGGAGGTGCCCAGGTCTCTGTGGAGGGCAGGGTCGCCTGGTCAGCGCCGTCCTGGGCTGGAGGGCCACGTGTGTGTCCACGAAGGCCCTGTGCTATGCCGCGAGCCCATCCACCACCCGCATCTGGCTCTCTCCAGGTGCAGGGCTGCCCATGACCTGTGGCTGGTGCGTGGCAGCCTCCAGGCTGAGGAAAGGGCCCCGGAGCCCCCTGCCTCCCTGCCTTCATTCCTTGCTGCAGACTCCCCGGTCTGGGCACGGCAGAAGCCACCTCCTCCTACCCCCCACCCCCGGAGGGCTGGGTCTGGCGGAGGGGAGCCGCCTTTGGGCGGGGTTATTTGGCTGAGCCGCACCCACCCACCATCTGCTGCAGCGGGGAGTGGGGGTTGGGCAAGGCGGCCCTGCCCCAGTGGGATCAGCCCCACTCCCTTTCTGGGCCGGGCTTGTGGCTGGCTGCCCCAAGTCACACCCCCTCTGCCAGACAGCTGTGCCTGCAAGACCTCCCCCACCCCTGCCCCGGGCCGTCCCCTGCCCAAGCCTTGTCTTGGCCCATCGCCCTCCCTCTGCCGCCACTCCCCTGCAGACGGGCAGGCCGGTGCTGCCTCATCTTAGAACAACGCTGGGGCTCTCTGGGCCCACTGCTGCCTGCAGGGGCCCTTCATTCCTGGGTGCCCCCTGACAGGGTGTATCCTTTCATTGGGTTCGGGGAGGTTCTTGATGGCATTTCTTTTGTATTTCTCTCTCCGTGTTCCCCGTTCTCACATCTGGAGCTCTACCAGTCCTTCCTCGGTTGTCTGAGGATGACCCTCGTTTTCGTATCTTCTCTCCCCTGTTTCCATCTCTCTGCCTTGTCTTCTGCTTTCTGGGAGGTTTGCTCATTTTCCAACATTGCTACTGATGTTTTTCTGTTGGCCGCCATGTCTGACTCTTAAGTGCCCATCATTGTCCTCTGCTCTTTTTTCGTAGCATGCTATTCTTGTTTTGAAGATGCCAAGAAGCCACATCTTCCGTGTCTCTCGCGGTATCTGCTGAAGTTTGGGGGTTTTACTCTCCTCCCTCTATTGCCTAGTCTCCCCCGGGACTTTTGCGTGTCGTGTTGCAGGCACCCTAATATTTCTAGTTGTACCATTAATAGCTTCTTGGGCATTCGAATTGGGGGCGAGGGCCTGAAATGCTGCTTAGAAGAGCTGCGTTGCCGGGACCCTGATGTGGGGGGGCTTCCCTGCCGGGGCCTGGGGTGAGGGTGGGGACCAGTCGCTGCAGCGTGACTCCTGTGCTCCTGAAATCGCACCCCTGCGTTTTTTCGCCTCGGGACTTGGCGTCTGCCCTTCTCCCTGCTTAGCTGTTCCTGTTCCTGTGTCCTCCTCCCAGCCCTGTGACATCCGAGGGCTTTTCTGCACGGCTTGGTGACTTCCTCAGACCGTCCAGTGCACATGCCCCCTCCTCCCACCATGGTGATGTCTGACCCACGGCCTCACCTGGCTGCCGTGCCCCCGACCTCCACGTCACCTTTGTGAACCTCACTCCCGTGACGGGGTCTCCACGTTCACCCCCAGGCCGCTGCAGCCAGTGTATCTTCCCATCATCTCTTAATTGGCTGAGGTCTGTGTCTAGGGACTTCTTCGAGAGGGGCCAATCAAACTATTTACCTTGATCTGTAACTTATTCCGAAGCATTGGCTGGGCGTGGAATTCCCGTGCCTGCTTTCTTTCCACTGGGCATGTGGGCATCACCCCACCTCCTGGCCTTGAGTGTTTCTGTAGAGAGGTCCCAGGGAAACCACGTGACTGGTTCACCTTCAAGGAGGAGGTGATGCCTTTCCTCGGCCGCCTCCAGATTTCATCTTCACGTCCAGTAACTTCGTTAGGGTGCGTTCCAGTGTTAGCTGGCCACCTTCGATTTTTCCCTTCAACGTGTGGTTGAAAGTCCTCTTTTGTGTCTCACAAGTTTTCTTTTTTTAAATTTTTTTTTCAACGTTTATTTATTTTTTGGGGGACAGAGAGAGACAGAGCATGAACGGGGGAGGGGCAGAGAGAGAGGGAGACACAGGATCGGAAACAGGCTCCAGGCTCCGAGCCGTCAGCCCAGAGCCCGACGCGGGGCTCGAACTCCCGGACCGCGAGATCGTGACCTGGCTGAAGTCGGACGCTTAACCGACTGCGCCACCCAGGCACCCCTAGTTATTTGTTTTGAGAGAGGAAGAGAGAAAGAGAGCAGGGGAGGGGCAGAGAGGGAGGGGGAGAGAGGGAGAGAGAGAGAGAGAGAGAGAGAGAGAGAGAGACAGAGAGAGAAACCCAAGCAGGCTCTGTGCTGTCAGATCCCGACGGGCTGGATCCCACGACCCTGGGATCGTGACCGGAGTCAAAAGCAAGAGTCGCACACTCAACCGACAGAGCCACCCGGACGCCCCTACCGGTTTTAAAGGTAAGTTGTAATGAGCCACCAAGGAGTCGACAATGTCGATCTTCCACAACAGTTTTGCACACAAGAAGTTTAAAAAATAGAGCCGTCGAAAAGGACAGTTAGAGGGGGAGGCAACGTAGGCGTCAACCCCTGATCCCAGAACCAGGGAAGTACAGGGCAAGTGAAGGGCTGGCCCTCGTGAGCACGGACAGGAAGACTGCCGAGCAAATAGAATTCAAAGTCACAGTGATGTAAACTCAGCGTGACCCAGTAGTCCTACCGCAGACGCACAGGGAAGGATCACCACCACCGATGGGGTCCAGGAGTATCGTTCCGTGATCGTGTGGACAGGCGCAGAGAAACTGAGACACGTGCCCGTTCAGACAGACAGAAACCAAGCGTGCCCGCGGCCGTCTTTGCTCGTATTTCACGACGTGCCGCGGGGCGGGCCCGCCGAGGCTACGGGGTGAGACGAAGAAGCGTGTGGGCTAGAAGGGAAAGTTGCTGGTCTTTCTATCTTCAAGACAGAAACCCCGACCGACTTAACAAATTACTGGGGTTCTAGGAGAGCTTGGCAGTTTTGCTCCGTCGAAAATCAAGACACGAGGTTGCCAGAGACAAGACCCACGTATGAGAGTCGGTAGTGCTGTACTGATGGAAAAGAAATCTGCGCTACATCAGTGTAGTTCTCTACGTTTATAGCAACCGACCAGAAAATACAAAAGAAACGGAGCCCCATTCGTGATTGTAAAAATCCCGTAAACATGTGGGCCTTTAGTTCCGGTCTCAGGGAGGCCGATGTCCTGCCCTGTCCCAAGCAGCAGTGGGGACGGGAGGGGTGGCTCCCGGCTGAGCTCACGCCGCCTCGGTTCACGATCACATTCTGTTCCTGGCGGCTGGTGCCGGGGAGTGTGACAGGACGCGGGTCTGCACAGAGAAACGCAGGAGGGATGCTGGGAGCCTGCTTGTTCTTACTGTCAGACGCAGGAGGGCACGTTGCCCGGTACAGGATGAAGGGTGTCCCCCCTCCCAGCGACACGTAAGTCAAAGTCCTACCTGCCAGCACCTCAGGATGCGACCTGTTTGGAGAAGGCGTTGTAGCACGTGTATTATTAAGACGAGCTCCCCGCGGCGCGGGGTGGGCGCTAATATCGTCTGGTGTCCTTATGAAAAGGGGACGTGGGGACGCAGGTGGGGACACAGGGAGGATGCCGTGTGAACGTGGGGGCAGAGACGGGGCGGAGGCGCCTACGAGCCGAGGAGCGCCGAAGACGGCAGCAAGCTGCTCCCCCCCCCCGCCCCCCCCCAGCGGAGCGGAACGAAACGGCTCCTCCCTCGCAGGGCCAGAAGGACCCAGGGCCGTCCACCTTCGCCTTGACCTTCTGCTCTGCCTAACCGGGAAAGACTACATCTCTGCTGCTCGGGCCTCGTGCGTGCCGGTCACGGCCGCCTCGTCCGCGGCCCGGAACGGGGCTCGGCCCGGGTGCGCGCTGGGGGATACAGCGTCCCGTGACCTGCGGCGGAAGGCTTTCTGTCTGATAACAAGCTTCCTACCTAGGGGAAGCTTAAAGACTCGTTAAAAACGTAAAAGAGCACACGGGTGGAGAGCTATTCATCTCCGTGAACGTGTATGGGTAACAAATAAACCCGAAGTAGCGGGTGAATCTTTCTTCGCTGCAAAGAGAATTCGGAAAGAGTCGTGCGGGCAACGCCCGACAAACAGATCGTAAACGTCAAATACGAGAAGCGTTCGGGAGCAGCCCGGTCGTTTTGGGAAAAGGAAGACGACGAGGAGGCCGTCGGACACGGACACACGAACCCACAGCCCTAGGAGTACAGGCAGCGTGGCACTGGTGCAGGACGGACGGACAGACGCCGCCGAGAGCTCCCACGTCCACATCTGCACGAGGACCCGGTAAGTGGCAGAGTGGTCTGCAGGGAGGTGGTGGGTTGCTGGAGAGACGAGGTCGGGAAAAGGGGCTCACCGTATGGCAGGAATTTAAACTGGGTCCCCATCTCGTGCCGCCATTGAAGGCGACCTCACAGGTAGAGACCGTAACAGTGAACGAAAGGAGAGGTAGAATAATCCCGCGACTTCGGGGGCGTGGACGAACTTCCTGGATGAGACCCAAATCACCAGCCAGAATTGACGGACCGAGTCAAAACGAAGGGTTTCTGTGGAAGCGAAGGCCGCCACAGGCGAGGTCAGCGGGGGCAGGCGGGCTGAGGAGCCTCGCAGAGTCCAAGCCACGCTCAGCCCGTGTGATCAAGAACATCCGCCTTCACGCCCGCGACATTTCAGCTGCTGAATTCTCTCTCAGCCGCCGACGAACGGACAGACGTTACGTCAAAATCATTTTCCAGCCCTTAAGATACTGCCCGAGATTTTATTTTTTTAAGTAATCTCCACGCGCAACGTGGGGCTCGAACTCACGACTCCAGACCAAGGGTCGCACGCTCCTCTGACTGAGCCTGGGCGCCCCACCCCGGCCTGAGATTTTAATGCCCTTAGTAGGGCTGTTATCAGCTAAGCCGCACAGGAATTTACTGGATTGCCACGCTTAATTAGATAACTTCCTTTTACAAACTGTTGTCCGCTTTCAGCCCGTGGAGATTTGCAAACCTCATGTGGCCCGGTTTCGGGATTCAGGAAGAGAAAACTTAAAAGACTTGCTACACTTGTCGCTGTTGTTATCAAGGGACAGAACGTGTTTTCTTGCAATTTATGATCTAATCATTTTTCTTGGAATTGGGGTTTTTTTTGTTTTCTTGGAATTGAATTATTTTGTTTTGCTACAAATGATGTATCATATTTCTTAATTTTATAATATGTTCCACTTCTCTGTAGTTGTCATGCTTTCATTTATGGGTTTTATACACTTCATTATTCGCTGAGCTGATCTGAAGCCTCGACAAGGAAGGAGTAAACCGGATTTTTTGTCTTTGTTGACTTCTCTGTCAGAACACTGCTCAGCCGCACGTTCAAGGCACGTTCCTGAAACCCCACTTTCTAGACCCTCGCTGCAGACACGGTACCCTCTGTGCCCCCTGAGGCCCGTTCTCTGCTCTGGCCCTTAGGGCTGAACCTGACCTTTATTTGATAAATAACAGTATAAATAAGGAAAATCAAGAAAGCCTTCGAAGGAGGTCGCTTCATAAATACCTTTCCGGACTCCCCTAGACACGACTGGGTGCTGAGAGCCCATTTAAAACGTCTGGATCGGGTGCCTGGGTGGCGCAGTCGGTTAAGCGTCCGACTTCAGCCAGGTCACGATCTCGCGGTCCGTGAGTTCGAGCCCCGCGTCAGGCTCTGGGCTGATGGCTCAGAGCCTGGAGCCTGTTTCCGATTCTGTGTCTCCCTCTCTCTCTGCCCCTCCCCCGTTCATGCTCTGTCTCTCTCTGTCCCAAAAAAATAAAATAAAATAAAATAAAAACAAAAAAAAAAAGTTGATAAAACGTCTGGATCATTTTCCAGAATTCTGACCGGGCCCCCTGCCTCACGCTGGCCGGCCCTGGCTAACGTAAAACCCATTTTGCTCCGACACCAAAAACGGTCTGATGTTGCTTCAGCTTTGCTCTTTCCCGCCGATGACGTAAACAAAGGACGTTAATCTGTCTTTAGTTTTTTGAATTTTGTCTCTTAAGTTGATGACTCACGTGCCATTACGTTTTACGTGCCCCGCCGCAGGGACGCCTGAAACCCCGAAGGCTTGGGTGGTATCGGGGCACCCACCGGAGACCCCTCGCTTGTTGGGGACTCTTTGCCAAAGATGGGGAGCATCTTCCGGGCACCGCGCGGTGGGTCCTTGGAGGCCTGGTGTGACCGGCCTGAAGCTGACTACAGGCTCTGAGGGGTGTGTGTCACTCTCAGCGGGTGCCTCCAACCAACTGGGGGTGGGTGACACGTGCCACATGTCCCAGAGTGAGGCTGGAGGGCGGGCATTAGGGCCCGGACACAGAGGCAGCAGGACGCCGGGAGGCTCTCGGTGGGGACCCCCCTCCGCCGTGATCCCAGGGCAGGTACTCACCTCACGGAGCCCAGGCAGCTACCGTTCAGCTTCAGCTGGCTGAGGTTGGGCAGGTGCACCCCTGGGGGCCAGAGGAGGGAGAGGCCAGAGACTAAGCCTTACCCCTCACTCACCTCTCTGCGCCCTCCGGAGACATCCGTGCCCCTTGGCCCCTGATCGATGGCTGCTCTGAGTCCTGGAGGCAACCTCGCGGCTGTGTGCTTCACACGGGGCAGGGGACACGTGAGCAGACGGGCCCGTCCGGAAGGCCGAGAGGCCCCGGGACTCCAGGAGTCCACTCGGAGGAGGGGCGCCCCATTGGTGTGGCGGGGCCGCCACAGCTTGGGTCCTATCCCTGAGCCGCATCCCAGATCCAGCCACAGGCACCCCACACCATAACCTGCATCAACTGGCGGCTCTGTTCCAGAGCACAGGAACCCCCGAGCCCGTGTCCTTGTGCACCCTAAAACCCCCAGGGAAAGGGTTCTGAGCCAGACTCCTTCCAAGAACGGGGCATTGACCCTGCAAGACAGTCCCCGATCCCTGAAGGAGGGATGCAGAGCAGGCCCGTGGGGTGCGGTGGTCCAAAGACCGAAGCCTGGCAGGGAGCCCTCCAGCGAACGGACCCTCACGAGGTCTGACCTTGCCAGCGGTGGGGTGTGGACGGCGGGGGGGGGGGGGGGGGCTCTCACCGAAGTTCCCCAGGCTGCTCTCACGGGTGCTGACGCACATCTCCAGCATGCCCACCAGTCGAAGGTCATCTACCTGGGCCAGGGCGCGCTGCAAAAATCAACGAAGAGTCAGCCCTGGGGCCTGGACCGCGGTCACTCCTCCCCAGTCTCCGCCTTCAGCTGTGGGGCTGGAACAGGGGGCAGAAATGCCCGTGCCTCATCTGTGTTGACCTTGGCCAGGGATGGCTTTGGCTGGTGGGGCTCTTTGCAGACAAGGGCCTGCCCTGAGGGTGCCAGTGTCCAAATGAGACCCGGGCAACAGACCCAGTGTGTCGGAGCTCGGCGCCCAGTCTGCTGAGCGTGGCTGAACCACAGCCCCCCGGACCCGCGGACGAGCGTGCCTGGACCCACCCACGGCGGCTGGGTGTTGTTTGTCACGGAGCGTGGCAGCCATAGCGGATTCACACAGATCGCGGGAGCTAGGCACGGTTCCCACGGTCCACACGACAACACGACTAAACAACGTGACTGATTTGGGACCGGGTTGGGGGTCTGAAAAGGCGGACGCCTGTGCCATGCGAGACAGTCTCCTGCGGTAGCCTGGATGGGAGAAAGCGTGCACGAGGAGCTTGTCGCGTTGAGTGGAGAGGTCCCAGCATGCTGCGGGCGGAGTGAGCTGAGCCCCCTTAGTGCCCTTGACAGGGGGCTGTCCAGAGGGAGGGGACAGAGCCCCGGAGGTTTGGAGCCCGTGGGTCTGAAAAATAAAATGCCCTCTCGATTCCAACCCGCAAGAGAGAAAGCTGAGGAGGGCTTGCAGGTAGGACGACCCAGTGAGCCAGTCTCAGGGACGAAGCCAGCTTGCCCGGCACCCACCGCACCCGCAGAGGCCCCGGGCTCTCAGGAGAGGCCCCGGCTCGCGGTGACAGAGTCCGCAGAGAGGACCGTGTCCGGACACAATCGCAAGTGTGGCTTTCGGTCCTGGCGTCGGCCGGACTCATTCGTACGGCGAAGCACACGGGCTGTGGGCCTCTGATGACCAGGCCGCCGCGGCCCGGACTGGGGGTCACGGAGGTCGTCCGCAACAGCGGCCCTTTCCCCAGCCGGGAGCCAGGCGGAGAAGGGGGCCCCAGGATGGACAGAAGCCACACCAGGGACAGAACGATCTCCAATCAATGCGTGTTCCCAGCACAGGGCACCCAGACATTTGTTGGGTGGGGGTCAGTGCCACCAGACCAGGGCCCCCCCCCTCAACTGGGAGAGGCTGGCAAGGTAGCCTGTTGTGTCCCCCTCTGCAGGCTGGCTGGGGGGCCACGCTGGTCCTCACGCCCGCCTGGGTCTCACGGACAGGCCCTTCTTCGGACGCGTGCGGTATAGTTTCCTCCCCGGACACTGGACTTGCCTGAGACGGGGCGCGTGGGGACTCGGGGAGTGTGCAGGGTCTGGATGTGGGGGTGGGTAGGCCGCCGCTCACGCCGGTCGCTCCTCCCCTGAATTAGAACGGTGCGCCCATTCCCTGGCGGGCGACAACACAGACCCCAGAGCAGGTGGCCTCGTCCACGCTGGGCTTGGCGGAGGGAGCCCATGAGTTTGCACCTGGGGTTCGCCCGCTGCGCACCCCGGCGTCAGCCCTGAGCAGGGTGGTCCCGTGTGGCCCCTCGAGCCTGGATCCCAGCGGGAGCCCGCGGTGCGGCTGGGAGCAGGGCAGCCTCAGGACGGACACCTGTCTTTGGAGCCAGAGTCTGGGAGGCTCATGGTCAGCGTTGTGGCCACAGACGACACACGGGATACAGCGATCCCCCTGCCAAGGGGTTGGGGACTGCTGGTGGGCGCCTGAGCGTCAGCGAGATTCACCCGGGAGCAGTCTGAGGTGGGCGTCCACGTGGGTCTGAGGAGACAGCTTCGTGGCACGTTCGCACCCCGCCCGGGCCTGAGGTTGCGGGGATCCCAGGCCGTACAAAGCCTTCTGTGTGACGGGGCCCTCTGGGGAGTGTCCCGCCGGCCATCCGAGGAAGGCACGGCGGCCATACCTCCTCCTGCAAACATCCTCCCTGTTGGGCACTGTCAGCCGAGAAGGAACACAAAACGAAGGGAAATGAAACACAGACACTCCGTTGAGCACCGGGAGTGTCTGTGGCTCCGCACATGCTGGGGCGGGGGGTGAGGGGCGGGGGGGGGGGGTCGTTCCTGCACCCGGACTGCAGCCACCTGGCCCAGAGCCTGTGTCCTGTCTCCTCGGCCTCTGGCATGAGCTCACTTCCAGGCCCTGAGGGTGCTCACGGCGGGCTCGCTCAGTCGGCCTGGCCTAACTCCTGGTGTGTGGTGCTTGGTGGGTGCTGAGGCTAGGTCCTCGTGGGGCAGGTGAGGGTCACTGCCCTCCCTGGCCCTCCCTGCCCCTGCTCTGCTCCCAGCCGGCTGCTCTGTCCAGCAGAGGACGCTCCAGCCCTGTGCCCAGGTCGACCGGTGCCCGAGTCCCCTCTGAGAGCCAGGCCGTCGTTGTCAGGGCAGCCCGGGCTCCCCGTGGCCCTAGGCGTGCCTGAGACAGGAGCACCACCCCGAGCTCTGTGCACACTGGCCCCCTCCAACACGTCCGCCCGCTGTGTCTGAACCCAGACCTCACTGGCACCAAGGGACACAGGACCCCAGAGCTGGCCAGCACGGAGGTGGCCTGCAGCTGTGAATCCGTCTCTGTCCCCTGGGGCCCTGTCAGGGGGGCTGTTGAGGAGCTGGTGGGGGGCCGTCCCGATGTGCTCCGTGCTGGACCAAGGCACTGGGAAGTCTTGGGCTCGCAGGGTGGCTGGAGGGCTGCACGCACAGAGGAGCCCGTGCGGAGCGCGGGGACAGGGGCCTGGCAGGCGAGTCCCACCCGCGCCGATCTCTGAGTTGGCCGGGGAGGCAGGTGGGGGCCTGGGGCAGCCAGGTTTCCTTCTGCTGCACGTCGGTGAGTATGTCACGGCAGGGTCTCCAAGGGACCCCTCTCCATGAGCCTCTCACCCTCTTACCCCGTGCAAGGGTGGGTGTGGCGGTGCCTGCAGCTGGCGGGGTCTGCCCCCTCGGCGTGGCCAGCAGCGGGTGACGTGCAGAGCTGCCCAGAAGGGTCGCTGGGCAGGAATCGGGAGCCGTGAGGGCTCTCCACGTCCTGGTGGGCCTCAGGACAGGGGCGGGGCTGACAGCCCCAGATGTGGGAGAAAGCCTTCAGCAGCTGCCCCAGACGCAGTCGGTGGGACCCCGGAGTGGCCCCCACTTAACCAGCTGGGCCCGGACGCCAGGGCTCCCCTACTGAGCTTGTGTTTTATCTACCTATCCCCGGTGGTTCGCACCTGCTGTGTGCCGGCCACTTTGACGGCTCCCCACCCTGTCTCTTGCCGGGATGACAGCCGCTTAAACGAGGGGCTCCTCAGGTTCATGGAGCGGTTCACAGAGGGGTCCCTGGAGCCCAGCACACAGCGGGTACCAGGCAAATACCTGTGGGATTCCTGCCCGGCTCATTCCCTTTGGGGTCCTGAATGGCGGGGGCACATCTGTGTCACCAAGCACCTGTGTCACATAGCAGGGCTGAGGACGTCTGTCAGCCAGGCAAGCCTAGAGGGCTGGGGACCGAGGGCAGGCCGGACACCAGCCCTGGGATGCTGCCCCACGCGGAGCCCTGCGGCCTGAGCCCCCAAGCCCTTGGCACTCACCAGTCGGGCAGGTGACAGGTACTCCTCTACCAACTGCTCGCCATGGCTGCCCGGGTCCTTGCTCTTCGGGCAGGGGTTGTGCGGGCCTTGCCAGCTCAGCTCCCGCACCAGGATATCGGCTGTGCTCGGCCAAGGCCGGTGGGCTTTGTCCCAGGCCTGGTCCATTCACATCCAACCTGCTGGGGATGGGCAGAAGGCAACGATGCCAAGCCTTTGCTCTCCCTCAGATCTGCAGCCTGGCTTAAACCCCTGCACAGCCAGCCCCCGTGGGGCTCCCCCTGTCCGGCTCTGGGGGGCTGTCACTCATTTAGTTTCCCCCTGCCTGGGCGCCTCGTTGCGCACCCCCCCCCCCAGTCCCCTGCTCAGCCTTAGCTCACACCCCACTTGGGTCTAGGAAGGTCATCCTCCAGGGCCCACAAGAGGGGTACTGGCTCTAGACTCCCCCATCTGAGGTCCTACGTAGGCTGTGAGATGTGGGACCCGGCGGGGGGGGGGGGCATTGGCCCCAGGTCATGGTTGCTCTGTCAGCTGTGACCAGCAGCAAGCCGTTGCCTCAAGCCCTGTGCTGTGCGTCTCCCCCGATGGTCTCCAAGCGTGGGGGCCCAGGACTAGGCTCTCAGGCGTTCCCCGACCCCCGTGCCCGCTGAGCCCCCTCACCTGAGGCAGCTGCCTTTTTCCACCACGGGTCAAACATTCAGGCAAGGTGTCCCCAAGTGGCACCTGCAGGAGAGAGGTGGGTTGGCCTCCTGGCCAGGTCACTGTGCCCAGGGGATCTGAGACAGGCAGGACTGAGGTCACAGGGCTCAGAAGTGAGCAGGTGCCGAGATGCATGGGGCTGCCAGTGCGGGGACTGGCCCTCAGGTGCTTTCAGTCATCCTGATGAGGGACCTGGACCAGCTGAAGAAGAAGTCAGGTGGTGGCTGGCTGCATCCTCTTTCCAAAAGGGGTTCCGGGTCTGCCAACAGTGGACTGTCCCTCATGGGCTGGGCTCCCTGGCACGCTGTCCCTCCTGAGGCCCCCCAGCCCCAGGCCCCACAGGCGTTGTTCAGTGTGTCCCTGAGCCACCTGCACGAGGTTCGCCTGGCACTGGTCCTTAAAGATGCAGATACCTGCCAAGCCCCGGACCTGGGAATGGTCTCTGGGGTAGAGCCAGAAGTCTGCCCGGGATGTGCTGGCCACCTCCCTCCAACTGGGTTGAGGCCTCGCTGACCCCTGCCCCTGCATTCCCTCCTCTCCTTCCTGGATTTACTCTGCTTATAAGTCTGATCGTTCTATGGTCCTCCGCGTTTTACAACGCATCCTGGTGAGTGAGCACCTTACCCCAAGACAACGCGGGCTCTGTGCGGGCAGGATGCTTGCCCGCTGCATCCACAATGTACAGGGCTCTGCGCTAGTCACCAGCCACTGTTCTTATCTATCAGCCTCTGTGGACGTTCAAGACGCATCCTCTCCGCCATGCTTAGGGCGGGGAGGGTGGCCAGCTGGGCTCTGACAGAGGCCTTGGGAGGGTTGCCGAGCCCTGGCTCTGTGCGCCTCAGTGACCTCACCTGGAAAGTGACACAAACACCCAGGATCCAGGGAGGCTAAGGCCATGGGGTTTCCAGCCAGGACTTCTTTCCAAAAGTTCCCTCTGCTGCCTGCCTTTCTCTAGCTGGTGAAAAGCCCTAAGCCTGGCAGGAGGACCCCACCACTGTGCCTCCTGGCAATGTGCCGGCCACCCCACTCCCAGGCCTGCCAGCCTTGTGGAGACGGGAGTGCGTGGGGCTGGTCAGGCTGCAGCCCCAGGATGCCCTTGGCAGCCTTAAGGGCCAAGCCCGCTGCCCCTTCCTTCTGTGCCTGACAGCAGGTGAGCAGAGGTCCTACCCCTGACGGCGCCCAGAGCATCGGTCTGGTCCAGCCCAAAGGTCTCAGGGTCCAAGGAGCAGGGCCTGTAAACACTGTCCCCTCACATTCGTGCACTGGCTGGAACCTGTCTGTGCTGTTCATGGCTCTCTACTCCCAGCCCCTGCCCTGCCACTCTGCGAGCCCTACAAGCCTCCCAGGTTGGAAACCCACGGGGCTGTCTGTCCCCACAGCCCAGGCTAATGCCAGTCCCTGGTCTGGCTCATCAGCTCTCTGGGTCCCCTCCGCCCTCCAGGCCTTCACCACAGCGGGAGGAGCTCTGAGGGCAGGGCCTGGTCCCCTGTGGGTCTCCACCACGGAAACTCCCAGAGCAGAGTCTGGGTCCCTGCCTCCCCATCTTCCCCAGAGGCGGGGCTTGGGGCCCCTCCTATCCGGGTGAGTGGGAGCACGGCTACTGGTTTTGCGCAGGGCCCCTGGAAGACCAGATTTGACACCTGGGGTACCACTGAGTTCCCCACTGGCTTTACTGCTTCATCCTGGGGCCTGCTCTTCGGCCTGTCTGCCCCGAGGCACGGGGGAGACAGCGAGGCCTGCGGCCCCGGGGCCCAAAGGCGTGTTTGGCTCTCACCTGAGGGGTTGGTCTGTGTGCCACCGCCCTGGGCGCCCTCCGCCGCCGGGGGCTCGCTGCGACTCCGGGTCGGTCGTTCTTCCGGGGGCGGGGTTGCGGGCCCTGGGCGCCATGGCAACGGGGCCGGAGCGTCATTTGAATACTCAAATATTCATGAGGCCGCGGGACGCTCCCCGACTCCCAGGTCGAGCCACGCCCCTTTAGCAACAGTTGCTCAGGCAGGGCGAAGGGGGCGGGGCAGCAGCCAACCCGGATCGGGATCGGGAGCGTCGGGCCCCGTAGGCCGCGGGCGCCCCCTGGGCTGGGAGGGAAGCCGGGGCAGAGGTGAGACGCCGTCAAGCGGGGACGGCGGGGTGGGGCGCAGACAGGCCAGGTGTCAGCCCCTGCAAAGCGGGTCTCTGGAGCAGACCAGCACCCACCTCTCCCAGCTGGGAGGGTCGCCCGTGAGGCCCTGCGGGATTTACCTCCGCCTCGGAGCGTGACGGATGCCAAAACAAAAGGAGCCCCTGAGGACGAGGCAAATGCAGACATGGACACCAGGAGGGGAGTTTGGAGGGTCCACGCTCGAGAGGGACGCCACCACCCGCTTCCATTTGTGCACCTTTACTTCGCGTCTGTGCGCGTCAGGCGCAGGCCCGGCTCTGTTGTAGCAGCGGTGCAGTGCGTGGGGACCGCCAGCCGGATACAGTCACGGCCGGTGGGGTCGGTGCTGTGATGGGGGCGGGGGTGGTCCCCGAAGGGGCCCTCCAAGGTCACGGCCTGCAGTGGGGTGAGCTCCCAGGGAACAGCACGGAGCGGGCACGGGAGGGGATAGGGGCAGGGAGGGGGTGCCGTCTGAGCAAAGCGAGGTTGGGTCTCACGTGTGATGAACGCATCATGCTTTCTGTAAAAATGAGAGGTGTGTTTATACATTGCACTGAAATTTTAAAAAATGTTAAAAACATGTCTTTCTTGAGAGGAGACAGGACATGCATGTTTGTGCTTGGGGTGTCACCCACTTGGGCAACTTTTGGGTTGGATTTGCCGGGTGCCGTTTGTTACCTGCACCGTTGGAGCCTCTGGGCTGGGGGAGCTAGGTGGGCCGGTCTGCGGGGCCTGCCCAAGTTGGGCGAGGCTGGTGGTGAGGGGCTGCGGGAGAGGGGCTGCGCGGAGCCCTGGGAGGGGCTGCGCGCTGCTGAGAAGCAGCTGAAAAGACAGCGGGTCTCGCTGTTCCGCGGGCTCAGATGGGTCCCCGCCCAGCCGAGACGCCCCTGCACCTCCTGGCCCTGGGCGCACCGGCTGTGCCGCGCCCAGGACTCCGCCGGAGGTGCCGGGTGTCCTGGGAGGGCTGCTGGCGCCCGCTCCGGAGCCACCTGCGGGGAAGACGGGTGTCGGGCAGCCGAGCCCGCGGCCGCTGGGGGACCCAGAGGCTCCCGGCGCGGCCCGGGCCTGCTCCAGGCACCTGACCCCCGTCCCCGCCGCCCTCTCCGCCTTCTTCCGGCCCCCAGCCCGGGGGTCGTCCGCGGTGCTGACCCTGTGGGTCCCATCGTCCCTGAGGCTCGTCCCGCGGACTGACCCTTCCGCTCCGGGGCCCCCTCGGCGGGCTGCGCGTCGGGGGGCAAGGAAGTCCTCCCCGCCAGGGCAGGGGGCTCGAGCCGGACCGCAGCGACCCCGCCCCAGTCTACACCCGACCAGGGACCCGCTCCCCTGCGGGGCTGCTGTCTTCTCGGGAGAGTCCCGACCCTTTCGGGGGAAGCCGTCGTCCCCGGACCCGCGACCCCAGCGTCCTCCCGCCCGCCCGAGCCCAGCCCCCCTTAGGCCGCGGCCCACGAGGGCCTCCAGGGCCGGCACCGCCCTCCGCGCCGTTTCCCGGAAGCCCCGCCCGGCCGCGGCCTTTGACAGGCGGGCCGGCCGGCCAACCGGAGCGGGGCGGGGCGGGGCGGGGCGGGGCCC